CTGGCCGTACCCCCGGATGGGAAGGCCAAGAGAGCGAAGGGAGGTGGCTCGGGCAAACTCTCGTGGCCCCTCCCCAGCTCAGCCACGCCCTCCCGCAGGAGCCTTACCTGCAGAGCCAGTGCGACTGCTGCAGCTACAGCCTGGACCCCGAGAACCCCGTGCGGGTCCTGCACCTGCGCTGTCCCGACGACCACGTGGAGCCCGTGGTGCTGCCGGCCATCCGCAGCTGCCAGTGCAGCGCCTGCCAGGGTGGGTCTGGGCGGGGCTGGGCTGGGAGGGACGGGGACCTAGGCTGGACACCTGCAGGGGCGGGGCCCGGCCTTCAGGAAGGCGCCCCGTTTCCCGAAGCTCAGGCCCTCGTGGGATTCATCCTTCTTGACCGCTTCTGACCCTCTTCCTTCCCCGTCTTGGCTTGCTTGTTGGCTTCGTCTCCAATCCAGCGCAAGCTTGGGTGTTTGGAGTCGGTCACAGCTGCTTCCTCCCAGCTCATCTGTTTCCTTCCTTGCTGAGCATCCGTGACCTCAGCTTCGAGACCTGGCTGACTGTGCACAGGCTTTTGGCGGTGGGGGGGCTTGGTGGGAGCGCATGTGTGAAGCGCCTGCCAGGTGCCTGGTTCTTGATAGGTCCCCAAGGCCACATTGTGGCAGGTGAGAAACAGGTGCAGGGGCGCTCACAGCGCCTGGGTGGAGCGCAGGGCAAAAGCACGCCTTTCTCTGGGCTTCTTCCTGGCGGGGCTTCTCTCCTGCCAGTTTGCTCCACTGCTCCCCCTCTGGCTGCACCCCTTCCCGGCCTGACCACTGCCTCTGTGCCAGTGCATCTCCCCCTTATCTGTCCTCCAGGAGGTGATTTCTCAAAGCACTGACGGTCCCACTGGATGAGGCTGCCCAGCCACCACCCCTCGTGCGATCACCGGGCCCAGAGGCACCGACCCCCTCCTCCCGTGCCCACCCATCCACTCCATGCCCTGGTACCAGCATATCCCAAATAAAGTGACATCAGCAGCAAGCTTGTGTGCAGTCTGCGTCTGGGGACCAGAAAAGAGAGAGAGGCAGGGTGGGTCTGAGCCCCGGCCTTGACCTGCGCAAGGACTGCCTCCAGGAGACTTCTGTTAATCTGCCATGCTGGTGAACCGGGCAGGCCTCGGTTTGCACTTCGGCAGGTTGAATATAAAGTCTGGAGTTCTCTGGTTCCCTGTTTCTGCTGCCCGGTTCTGCCTCTTCCTCCCGCAAAGAGCCCTCTTCCTGTGCGTCGCTGGTTGTAGTCGGCGCTGCCCGCCTACACCACCCTCTCCTGCTTCCAGATGCCATTCCCTGTCATCCAGAGAAGAGTTCGGCTCATGGGTCATACTCCTTGTCACGGACACTCGGTGTCCGTGTGGATAATCCATTCAGTTCTCACCCCCTCACCTCCAATGACCTTTCCCTTCACCACTCAGATATTTTCAAACACTTCCAAATATTTACTTACGGATCGTGACTTCCTATCATTCCAGTTTACTTGCTCTGGTACCCCACCGCTATCATTTATTTCCGATTCATTGAGCCCACCGGGTTCTCACTTTTCATTAGCTCTCTCCTGTCTCCCCCTCAGGATTCATGGTCTGCATGGTCATCCTCAGCACCAACTGCACATTAGAAGCACCCGGGGAGCTTTTGAGATCCTACCAGTGCTCGGGCCCCATCCTGAACCCTTTAAATCAGATTCTTTGGAAGCCTCATGGGTAATTCTATGTGCACCTAGCTGGAATTGAGAACCACCTGTCATTATAAATCACTCCAATGCAAGTACCATTAAATCCCTTGATTTTCTTTTTTAAACTATCTTTTTAAATTGATTTATTTTGAGAGAGAGGGAGAGAGAGAGAGAGAGAGAGAGAGAGAGAGAGAGAGAGCAGGGAGGGGCAGAGAGAGAGGGGGAGAGAGATCCCAAGCAGGCTCGGAGCTGTCAGTGCAGAGCCCGATGCGGGGCTCGATCCCACAAACCATGAGATCGTGACTGGAGCTGAGATTAAGAGCCGGCTGTTTAACCAACTGAGGCCCCCCACCTTGCTTTTCTATCACCATTCATACTCCATACCTGTCAATCCTCCAACTCAAATATCTGCCCAAGTCTCTGCTTCCAGACAGAATTTTGCAGATAGTCTGTTTTTGCCTTCAATTTGTAATCACAAACCTCAAACAGGGCTTTAATTCGATTTGCCCATCCTGCACATTGTTCCCCCATAAACTCTATTTCCTCTTTTCTGCACTGACTATGCATGCCTTCTCTTCTTCCCTACCCCCTTCATTTTCATGAGATGACCTTGTCTCATTGAGATAATGTCAGATGGGGATTCTCTCAGCAAATCTACCAAACAAGTCTACACGGACTCCATCTTCTCCTTCTTCCCGTGGGGTGTCATCTAGAAGTGTCCCTACCCCTGGAAAGAGCCCTTGGTCCTGTGGTCCTGCCTCCTTGCCTTGCCTCACCTGTGCTTAACCATGATTTTCCTTTCCACCAACAAAAGAAACATGATCTTGTGTCTTACATTTGGATCCCACACTTCCTTCCAGATACTGCCCCGTCTTTCTGTACCTTTTTATGGGAAAACGTTTTCAATCACCAACCCTTCCTTTCTCAACCACCTCCCCTCCAACTTTAAACATTTTTTTAAAAAATTTATTTATTTAGAGAGAGCACGAGGCGGGGGAGGGGCAGAGAGGAAGCTAGAATTCCAAGCAGGCTCTGCACCAGCAGCTTGGAACCCGACATGGGGCTCAAATTCACGAACCATGAGATCATGACCTGAGCCCAAACCAAGAGTCAGAAGCTTAACCGACTGAGCCATCCAGGTGCCCCTCACCTCTAACTTTTAAACCCCTAAACAAGAATTTGTTATAAGGAGACAGAGATAACTCAAGGGCAGAAATACAGCTCTCCAAGGTATATACAGAGAGGTACAGCTATAACTGAGCTGGGAGCTGGAGATTGGAAGGCCACCCGGAGTCTTCTGTCTTATTTCTTTCTTCCCTCAGTAACACAGACCCCTCCTACCAGGGACTGCACCTGCCAAAGGGAGGCAGCTCAAAGCACACAAAGCTGTGAACTGAATTGTGGTCCCCCAAACTCCTAGGTTGAGTCCCTAAACCCCAATGTGACTATATTTGGAAATAGGACCTATACAGAGGTAACTAAGGTTAAGGCTGATAGGATTAGTGTCCCTATAAGATAAGACACCAGAAAGTTCATTCTCTCTCTCCTGACTACACACAGAGAAGAGGTCATATAAGCACATAGCAAGGTGGTGCCGCCTATAAGCCAGGGACAGAAGCCAGGGACAGAAGCCAACCATGCTGGCTCCCTGATCTGGGACTTCCAGTCTCCAGAACTGTGGGGAAGCAAATTTCTCTATGTTGTTATGGCAGCCTGAGCTGAGGTCAAATATTATAGGTCCACTCACATGGATTGGACTCCCTCACATTTCTAAAAAAGGTATTTTTTTTTAATTTTTTTTTTAACGTTTATTTATATTTGAGACAGAGAGAGACACAGCATGAGCAGGGGAGGGGCAGAGAGAGAGGGAGACACAGAATCCGGAACAGGCTCCAGGCTCTGAGCTGTCAGCACAGAGCCTGACGCGGGGCTCGAACTCACGGACCGCGAGATCGTGACCTGGCTGAAGTCAGATGCTTAACTGACTGCGCCACCCAGGCGCCCCACTAATAAAATTTTTAAATATAAACTGGGGCACCTGGGTGGCTCAGTTGGTTAGGCATGTGACTTCGGCTCAGATTGTGATCTCATGGTTTATGAGTTCAAGTCCCGCATTGGGCTCTGTGCTGACAGCTCAAAGCCTGGGGCCTGCTTTGGATTCTGTGTCTCCCTCTCTCTCTGCCCCTCCCCCGCTCACACTCTGTCTCTCTCTGTCTCTCTCTCTCTCTCTCTCTCTCTCTCTCTCTCAAATAAAACATTAAAAAAATTTTAAATATAAACTATATCTGCTTTATTTTTTATTTAAAACTTTGAAATATGACTTAGAGGCGCCTGGGCGGCCGGTTAAGTGTCCAACTTTGGCTCAGGTCATGATCTCTCGGTTCACGAGTTCAAGCCCCGCCTCGGGTTCTGTGCTGACAGCTGAGCCTGGAGCCTGCTTCGGATTCTGTGTCTCCCCCTCTCTCTGCTCCTCCCCTGCTCACACTATGTGTCTCTCAAAAAAATGAATAAACATTAAAAAAAAATTTTAAAAACCCAAAACTTCAAATTATGACTTAAAACACCCATATGTAAAAGTACAGAAAACATTTTTATAGTTGATTTTACCAACACTTTTATAATAATCACTGCCTTACTTTCTGTCATTTTATTTCTATGTATACATAATGGGAGGGCCACATGGGGGCTTTCTGGAGTGCTGGAGATTTTCTGTCTCTGATCTGAGTGATGGCTACCTGGCACACAGGTAAAAACACATCAAGTTATACACTTAAGATTTCTGCACTTTATTATTTGTCCTATTCTTATTACATGTATTACACCCATATATATTACAAACGAAATAATATATGGTTACAATGACTTCAAATAATTTTAGGTCTGTGACCAGGGCACCGGGGTGCAAAAGTATCTGGCCCCAGGGGTCCCAAACAGACCAGGTTCGGTCACTCGCTGCTGACAAAGTCCAAAGACAGAGAGATGAGCGGTGGTGAAACAAGAAAGGAGTGTATTTCAGTGTGGCCAATGCTGGGAAGACAGCGGACTAGTGTTTCAAAGACTATCTCCAGGGGCGCCTGGGTGGCGCAGTCGGTTAGGCGTCCGACTTCAGCCAGGTCACGATCTCGCGGTCCGTGAGTTCGGGCCCCGCATCGGGCTCTGGACTGATGGCTCAGAGCCTGGAGCCTGTTTCCGATTCTGTGTCTCCCTCTCTCTCTGCCCCTCCCCCGTTCATGCTCTGTCTCTCTCTGTCCCAAAAATAAATAAACGTTGAAAAAAAAAATTAAAAAAAAAAAAAAAAAAAGACTATCTCCAAAACCTCTGGGTTTATACAGGGAAAATGTGGGCAAAAGTTGGGGGGGGGTGGTACATGCAGGTGGGCAGCAAAGGTAAGGTCAATCGCTGTCTTGAGGTCAGTCATGTGGGGTCTTGCTGGCTCGGGGCACTTGTTACTGCTTGAGGGGCTAGTTCTGGTCCCCATCACAGGATGCTTTGCCTGAGTTAAGACAAAAGCTGGGAAGAACATAACCAATCAGAAAGTATAGATGAGTCAAGATGGAGGCGGCTGATGTTCTGTTTCATGTCTTTTTTTTTTAATGTTTATTTATTTTTGAGAGAAAGAGACAGAGTGTGAGCGGGGAAGGGGCAGAGAGCGAGGGAGACACAGAATCCGAAGCAGGTTCCAGGCTCTGAGGGGTCAGCACAGAGTCGGACGTGGGGCTCGAACTCACGGACCGTGAGATCTTGGCCTGAGCCAAAGTCAGATGCTTAACCTGAGCCACCCAGATGCCCTGAATGTCTTTTAAAGAAGATGAGAGAATAGGGGCGCCTGAGTGGCTTAATCTGTTAAGCGTCTGACTCTTGATTTCGTCTCAGGTCATGATCTCATGGTCATGAGACTCAGCCCCACCTTGGGCTCCAAGCTGGGGGTGGAGCCTGTTCAAGATTCTCTCTCTCTCCTTCTCCCTCCGCGGCAGCTCACACTTGCCCTCGAACTCTCTCTCTCTCACAAAACAAAACAAAACAAAAAACAAAACAGAGAGAGAGAAGAAAGGAAAGCAAGTATATCTTTATAGAGCTTGGACTTCTTTCTTTCCTCCTTAAATTCATCCTCTACTCTGCAGTATGCCTGATCCAACTGAAGTGCAAATTTGCCCACACCATTCACCCGCTTAAAACTCATTTCAGACTCCTTAAGGTAGCATACAATGCCCTCCATGTCCAGCCCCCAAGTATCTCTCCAACGTCTTTTCCCACAACTTCCTGTCTTACGCTGCACCTACCATTTGCTCACCTGCCTGGCTTAATTTATGCTATTTCTTATGGCCACTTCCCTCTTAACAACACCTTTGTTCCCCTCCTATTTTAGCTCAGGCTACCATAACAAAATGCCATAGTCCCGGTGGCTTAAACGGCAGACATTTATTTTCTCACTGTTCCGGAGAATGGGAGTTCAAGACCAAGACGCCATCATGGCCAAGAGGATGGTGGGAACTCTCTTCCTGGCTTACACATAGCTGTCTTCTCACTGTTTCCTCATCGGGCAGAGAGACAGCAAGCTCTCTGGTGTCTCTTCTTGTAAGGACACTAATATCATCATGAGAGCCCCATCCTCATGATCTTATCTAAACCTAATTACCTCCCAAAGGCTCCACATCAAAATATTGTCACATAGGGGTTACATACAAATTCGGGGGTTACACAATTCCTTCCATAGCACCTCATGGCTGACTCCTACTCTTTAATTTAGTCCAGGTGCCACTTCCTCAGGAAATCCTTGACCTAAGCACCCCATATTCTCCCAGCACTGTACTCTAAACGGTGACAAAGTGTGCTTTCATAGGGTCCTGGGCTTACCTCTCTCCTTGCACTCGTGTCTTTATTTTGTAGTTACCCGTTTCTGGTCTGTTTCCCCAATAGACTGTAAGCTCCTTGAAGGCACGGTTTTGTTTCATTCAGCTGTGTATTCCCAAACCTTGCACGGTGCCTGGCAACATGGTAGGCAGCCAATGATGCTTTTTGAATAAATGTTAAAAAAAAAAAAAAAAAAAAGTATTGCCCTCCTTGATTAAATAAAGTCTGAAACCTTCAAGGTTGACAGTGGTCCTAAAAATGCGAGGGAACAGACCCAAGAACAGGCATTCTCACAGCCCAGGGAGATCTCTTTGCCTTTAACGCAAGATCTGGGAGAGCGTGGTGGGGATGTCACCTTTCAACCCTCAAGCGCGGCGGGAAGGGCAGGGAGCGAGCTGCTCGGCGTCCAATTAGGGTCCAGCATTTCGGGAGCCAATAGCGGCTTGAGAGCCACTGAACTAGGCCGGACTACGCTTCCCGTGATGCCCCGCCGTCTCGGGCCAGAGGGCTGCCGTAAAGCGGCTCGCCCGACACGGCGCTAGTCCGCGCTGCTCGCCTCTCCCGGCATCGGGAGCGCTACCGCCCTCCCGACGTGGGGGAGCCGGTTCTCGGCCGCGCGCCCTCCCCGCCGGGGCGTCCTGCCCTCCGGGGGCCCCGGTCCCCAAGGTGGTCGCGGCGGCGGCATCCTCAGGCCAGGCCGCGGGGGGAGGGGGCGGCCTGGAGGCAGTGGCGGGGTCAGCACGGGCCACCTCAAGCAGGGCCATGGAGCCCAGGGAGTCGGGGAAGGTAGGCCTGGAAGGGCCCTGGGGCCGCCCACTCCCCTCCCGTGTAGATCCCTGACCTGGGCTCCGGCGAGGCGGGCGGTATGGGCGGAGTCCCCGCAGATGAGCCATCCTTGCAGGGAAGGACTCGCCCGCTCGCCCGCCGCCTCGTTCTCCACACTTGGGCGGCCTTCTCCGGGCGGGTGTGGCGGGGAGGAGCGGGAGTCCCGCGCAGCCTCTCGGCCCCCCTTCCCTCTCCCGGTGGCCAAGCCGCCCTCTGCCCTGTGGCCACCCGGTTGATGCTGGGGTGGGTGACCGACTCAGGGTAGTGATGCAGAAGTGCTTCCTGTTTCCCCACACCTCTGCTGGGAGTTTTGAAGAGGCCCAGCATGTTTTAAGGCTGGCTAAAACCGTAGTGGAAGGCCGGGGGTAGGGATTACCGAGAAGCAGGGTGAAGGTTTGGCCCTGACTAGATCCTCCTTCCCAAGAAAGGGCTGAGAGGAAAAAGAGAAGGCATCCGGCATATTTCTTGCCCACTTAAAAGTTACTGGCTTATCTACCTCGTGGAGTATCCGAGCACTGCCCAGAAGCATATTCCATAAACTTGCTTCAGGCTTGGGGTAGGAGGCTGTGAGTTGGAACAAAAGATGGGAGAAAGTGCTTGACGGTAGAGTTCAGTGGCTTTGACGGGATTGCTAAAGGCAGTGTCAGAAGACCAACTCGGTTATAGGCATCTGACTTGGAGACCGTGGCAGCCTCTTGGGACTAAGATCTTTCTGGATGTTCTTGGCAGCCTGATGCCAATTTTTATTTCTTCTTTGGCACAGAGGGAATTCCCTCCACATATGTTTTCAAGGGTGTATTGAGTCCTTTTAAAAAAGAAATTCACTTAATAAACATATGCGGTCTGTGGTCTACTGTGAGCTAGATGGTGGAATACAGGATAAACGTGAAGAGACCACTTTCCGCAAAGAGCTCTCCGTGGGAGAGAGTTACTGACTTCAATAACTAGGACAAGGGGCGCCTGGGTGGCTCAGTCGGTTGAGCCTCCGACTTCGGCTCAGGTCACGATCTCGCGGTCCGTGAGTTCGGGCCCCGCGTGGGGCTCTGGGCTGATAGCTCAGAGCCTGGAGACTGCTTCCGATTCTGTGTCTCCCTCTCTCTCTGCCCCTCCCCTGTTCATGCTGTCTCTCTCTGTCTCAAAAATAAATAAATGTTAAAAAAAAAATAAAATAACTAGGACAAGCCTGAAAGCGCTGTCCCAGAGACAAAAGAGAAAAGATAATGAGGTTATTTCCGCGCTGTAGCTTCTTCTGGAAAGGCTGGGAAGGAATGAGTTACAAAAGAAGTTACCCCTTGTTTAAGTCTCTCTTCCACACTCCCTCTCCTCCACAAGCTACAGTGATGCATTTATGTAACAGATGAAACAACCCAAGTAAACAGTGTGAGACAAAGCTCAACAGAACCCAACTAAAGAAAGATTGAAGGTGAACCATGTGCCAGCCTCACGATAAACACTGTAGGGGATATCAAAGTAGTCAAGGAAATGGCCCGTACCCTCAGGGAATATCCCCTGATTAGTTTCAACTAAACCTGAGTTTGGGGAGCAAAGTGTAATGTGGAAGAAGGATTGTTGGAAATTGAAATTAGCAATTTGAGGTTGATCTCAAACTATTCTGTTTAGTTGTAGGCTTTCTTAGCATTTAATGGGAGAAGAGAGAAATGCAAACAATTTGGGAGGTAGGGGAGAAATGTGATGTCCCGTCCAGGCCCAACCACTAAATGAAAACCCCCCCTTGGGGACTGGGACTTTCACTCTTGATTCTAATCTTGATTGTAGGGTGTCTCCAAAAGATGCTCACCCTTCCAGATGCATCAGTTTTCTAACCTGGGAAATTGGAAGGTTATCCAAAGATGAAATAAAGCGACTGCAAACACTGGCAGTGTTAGATGTCTTGCACATGAGTGGCAGTAACTAGGCTGGGTGCAATGTCTGCTAAAGTTCCATTCTGAGTATCTTTTTTTTTTTTTTTTTTTTGGCTCAAGGCTGGAAGACTGGGTGTCCACTTGAGGTAGTAGCTTGGTCGGTTAATAGTATCTTCCTTTGGTACTATTTTGTGATATTTGTTAACTAACAGCAGTCTTGGCCTATTGGATTGGGTGGGGGGTATCTTACATGTCACTGGCAGAATAAAGGAAAGAAGTCAAAGGCTTTTCGCCATCACTCTATCCCATTATCCTGTTTTATTTTCTTCCCAGCCTTTATCACTATATAAATTCTCACAATTATTTATTCTCACACGTGCTGACTTTGCTCTCTGTTGTATCCCCAGTTAGGACAATGGAGCAGCGTGTGGCATTTAATAAGTTCTCAGTATTTTTGGAATGAATGACTCATAAAGTAGCGTTGCTACAGGATCCCTTTTGCTAGAGGTTATGAATGCTCTGGAGCTCGCAGTCTGACACCCCATGTGCCCTCTGGGAGACTGTATTTTTAGTGCTGCCACATAGGGGTATTTATTGTGTGTATAGTTATTGCCTCAGCATTTCTGGTTCCTGCCCCTTCTGCCTTGTCCATGGAAGTGCTGACTCCTGTCTCCCTTTTCTCTAGACCCAGTTCTATTATTACACTTACTGGTGTCTCTCAGCTCCCAAGAGATTTTAATCTGGACAATAGTGATAGTGTTTTCCATATCTTAGGATCACCATGCACCAAGCCCATGAGAAACAACTAATAAATGTATTTGGAATGAAATAATTAAGAGCCTGTGAAATACTTTGTATATAATGTGGTGGGGGGAAGGGGTAGGTAATGGTGAAGGAGGTCATAACATAAGCCAATCAGCATAGGTTTCCTGAGTACCTCCAGCTCCATGAGAGATACAGAGGCTTCCTTGCTCAGGAGAAAGAGAAATGCATTGGACCACGTGGTTAGGGAATCCCTAGAGAAAGAGGCGGAATGTGAATAGGAACCTGATGAGTAGGTACAAGGAAGTAGGCGGAGTCAGGGAATCTAAAGGTCGGGTGTGTAGAAGGAGGAAAGAGTGTAGAAGGAGGAAAGACGCAAGACAAGTGATTGCAATGGCACTAATCTGTCTGCAGTAGAGATTCCAGGTCCGGCAATACACAGAGCTCAAGTTAGGAAGGTGGGTTAGTTTCAGATCAAGGGAACTTGGTGCTGGGCTAAGTCAGAGCTCTGCCGTATAGACAGAGGGAACCACTAAAATAGAACATCCAGAGATACTCTTTGCTTTATATATAGGTAAATAATTGCTTTTATTGAAGATTTGTGTTTTCTTTACATGGACATCAATTGGAATCAGAAGGTTCTTGCCATAGTATTGGCTAAAAGAGAGATACCAGAGTTAGGGCAATCACTCTTGTTGGGAAGATACTTCTTTATTATCTAAGCATTCAGTCCTGGTCATTCCCTTCATCCTTGTGGATGCTGAAGTAATGGGCCCATTGGCTTTCATTAGAAGCCCACCTGTTCCCTCAGGAAGAAAGGGGAAGGGGTGGGTGTGAATAGGGAGCCTTGCTTGTCCTTGGTTACAAGTTCAACCTGTCCTGTTTGGAACAGCTTGCTCGCTAGTCCTGGGGCACAGTAATCACCCCGGGTTCTGCCTTCAGTCTAACCTCAAGCATCCTTTTCCCCCTTCCCCCTGTTGGCTCCCCTTAGACCATATCTTATGTGTACCCCTTTGCTGTCTGACTGCCTCGTTTTAGCGGAGCGCATCCTCCAGCAGGATTTTGGAAATATAATCACATTTTGCATTGGAAGACACTCTGAGTGCAAATAGTTATTTCAAACATGCACATTTGGCAGGGCAATTCTATTAAAAAATATTTTTTACTGAAGTACCACTGCCATACTATGTTTTATTAGTTTCAGGAATGCAACATAGTGATTGGACAATTCTACACGTGACTCAGTGCTCACTGCAAGTGTTGTTACCATCTGCCACTGCACGGCATTATTAAATATTATTGACAGCATTCTCCGTTCCATACTGTTCAGCCCCGTGCCTCATTTATTTTATGACTGGAAGTTTGTGTCTCTTAATCTCCTTCACCTAGTTCTCCCACTGCCATCCCCCCATCCCTCTGGCAACCACCAGTTTGTTCTCTGGGTTTATGAGTCTGTTTCAGTTTTTTGTTACTTTGTTTCCTTTTTTAGATTCCACTAAAATTCCACTTTAGGTAAGTCATATTCTATTTGTCTTTTTTGTCTGACTTCTTTCACTTAGCATAATACCTTCTAGATCCACCCATGTTGTCACAAATGGCAAGATGTCATTCTTTTTTATGGCTGATATTGATGTGGCTGATTATATGGCTGATACATAGTATTTCTGTTTTTAACTCTTTGAGGAATCTCCGTATTGTTTTCCACAATGGCTGCACCAATTTACGTCGCAAATGGCACGAGTGCTGTCTTTTCTGCATATCCTCATCAGTGCTTGTTATTTCTTACCTTGTTTTTTTGTTTTTATTTTAAGCAATCTCTACACCCAGTGTGGGGCTTGAACTCACAACCCTGAGATCAAGAGTTGCGTGCTCTACTGACTGAGCCAGCCACGTACCCCTGTGATTTCTTGTCTTTTTGGTACTAGCCATTCTGGCTGGGGTGCAAGGTGATATCTCATTGTTCTTTGATTTGCATTTCCCTGATGATTACTGATGTTGAACATTATTTCATGTGTCCATTGACCATCTGTATGCCTTCTTTGGAAAAATGTCTATCCAAATCCTCTGCTCATTTAAAAAAATTTTGTTTAGTGTTTATTTATATCTGAGAGAGACACAGAGAGACAGTGTGCGAGCAGGAGAGGGGGAAAGAGAGATGGAGACAGAATCTGAAGCAGGCTCCATGCTCTGAGCTGTCAGCACAGAGCTGGATGCAGGGCTCGAACTTGTGAGCCATGAGATTATGACCTGAGCCAAAGTCAGACACAACCGACTGAGCCACCCAGGCACCCCTGTGTCTGCTCATTTTTTAGTTAGTTTTTTTTTTTTTTTAGGATGTTGAGTTCTGTAAGTTCGTTATGTATTTTGGATATTAACCTCTTATACGTCATTTACAAATATCTTCTCCCATTCACTGGTTGCTTTTTTGTTTTATTGATGGTTTCCTTCACTGTGCAAAAACCTTTTATTTTGGTGCAGTCCCAACAGT